AATTGAGCAAAACAAAATGCATAGGAGAGGAAGATCCCAGTCCAAGCCACGGGCGATTTCACGAAGAAAAAGTATATAGTTTATATAAGCAGCCAAGATGGTCGAATCATGTCCTTATCATCAGGTGTGTTGCTGATGGAGAGCTCCCTATTGGGCAAAAAACAACGTATCTCATTTAGTTGTTCTAATTTTTTATGAATATATTTATATATTTATTAAATATATTGAAATTTAAAAAACTATTTTTAAAGATTCTTATTTAAATAAATTTACATTTTGAAACATGTATTATGAAAATATATAATATCTCTGAAAAATGTTCATCATGTATTTAAAAATTTCAATTTTAAAAGTGTTTAGTTTGTGTTTAAAAATGTTCAGTGTGTATTTAAAAATGTTTTTCTGTATATATCTAGGAGAGTGATCCCCGCTAACTTATTTATCCCCGTCAATAAATATTTTACAACTATGCATAATCAAGTATAATAAGTCATATATATTTTAAATTTTGGCTGGTGTTATTCATCTTAATATTCATATTCAACACAATCAAATCTCAATCAAGTATATTGCAACCGATTCCCACAACAACACACGGAGTATCGTCTAGTTTAGAAAATATTCATCATATATAGAAAAATGTTCAACGTATATTGATATAATGTTCGCCGTGTTTAAAGAATGTTCAATGTATATTTGAAAAATATTCATACATAAAAATGCAGATTTATATAAATAAAAATAAAGATAACAACATTTTTATAATAAATGCTTTCTTCTATCCATATTACTTGTCACAACTTTAGTAGAATATAAAAACATAGCGTGGTGAACGCATTTGCCACGCCGGTGCTCTAGTGGAGCTCATATAAGAGCAACTCTAGCGGACCCGCAAAATCCGGAAACCCGCAAAACTCCAGCGAGTATACGGGCTCGGCCCGATTTTCTGGCCAGAACGAAGCCCGTATACTCGACCGGCCCGTAAAAATATTTACGCGGCCCGCAAACCGCCCGCCCCCGACCAGTATATCTACGGGTTTGCGATGCGTTTGCGGTTCAAAACCTATCCCTACGCCGCTGCCGAGCTCCGCAATTCCCCACTCCCCTCTGCACATTTCTCGCCGCCGGCGAGCCCCTTCCGCCTCCAACCGCCATGTGGGGCCGCATGTGGAGCTCCGGACGCGGCTCCGGGAGCAGATCCGGCGGCGGTAGCGACCCCGAGCGCGAGCGACGCGAGGAAGCACGGGGCGAGGAAGTGGACCAACCGCGGGCTCTCGCCGCCGCCGAGCTTCCTCGTCCGGGAGACGGACGAATACGACCGTTGGCACGGCTGTACGCTGTCCTCGGCCGCGGGCTCGTCCTCTGCGGTGAGATCTTCTTACGCCGGGAGCTCTTCCTCTTCCGGCGCGGGCCTTCTTCCTGTGAAGAGGGAGTGGTTGGAGAAGCCGGAGGAGCCGGAGGAGGTCCCCGTCAAGCAGGAGCCCGAGAAGCTCGGCAGCCGCGGAGTCATCGGGCCGGAGGACTTCGTCGCCGATGTCGACGCGATCGCGCCCGCCATTGCCAAGCAGAGCTTCCGCGAGGAGGCGGAGGACCGGCGCCACCACGAGGAGCTCGAAGACCTCGTGTTCCAGCAGGCGGTAGTGGCCAACCTCACCGCCAAGGAGAAGGACGACGAGTGGCGGCGCATCCGCGAGGAGCAAAGGGAGAAGTACATCGACCTCGTCAGCTCCGGCGAGGAGGATTGAGCTCCTCCACGACGTCGTCCATGGACGCGAGCTCGACGCCTTGAGATCCCCACCACCTCTAGTACTAGTACTGATGTAGTATGTAGTGTGAACTAGTGTTTGTAGTGTTTGATCATGTAATATATGTAGTATGTGATGAACAACTATGGAGCAATTTCTCCTGCGAATCTGTTTTTTTAAATTATGCAGTTTCACCTACAGTTTCTGATCGACCGCGCTTGTTCTGGACCCGCAAACGAGAATTTCGTCGAACTGCAAACACATTTTACAGGTTTGGATTTTGCGGGGTATGCTAGAGTTGCTATGAGGGCTTAGTGAACTGCTGGGAGGCCCTATAGGCGGCCGCCAGGATCATCGAGGCGGTCTCGTTTCGACGCGCTGCCGACATTCGCGTATGGTGAGCTGTCCACCGTCGCTGACCAGGCCGTGTGCGCTGTGGGTGCAACAAGGTGGGCGGTGAGCCCGTGATAGAGGCAGTAGCAAGGAGGATGCGGCACCAGGTCCACGAGGCCGCTGTCGCCGGAGTTCATGACGAGGCCGGCGTCATGGACGCCATCGCCGTGAATTTCGTCGAGCATAACGTGGGCATCCATGTACTTGTTCTGGCTGCACAGCCAGTGCGCCGTAACTGGCACTGGCCATGTCCAACCACTGAACATGGATTGTTGCAACATGCATACATTGGGTATAGTTTTGAGTTGAAATATTAAGGAAAAAAATAGGTATCAAATCAGAAAATAGAATTGATACAAATCCCATTGGTAAATTTGCGACAATTGGTCTATGAAACTTGCAGGCATCGTAGTTATTTGCGACCAAGCATGCACACTGCAAAAATGACACGAAAATCGACTAAGAGCATCTCCAACAGCCGCGCAAAACGACGCGCGCGCGGGGTAAACGCAGCTTTTAGCGCGCGCGGGGCGTTTTGCCGCCCTCCAGCGGTGGCGGGATAATCGCGCGCGCGGGAATCGTTTGCCCGCGCGCGCGAAAAGGCGCCAGCTCGCGCCTCATTTTTTGTGCACCGCTTCCGTCGTGCCTATAAAGTGCGGCGCGCACCACGCGCCTCTCCACGCCTCTTCTTCCTTCCCTCTCTGCCACGCGCCGCTCCAGCGCCCCGCCACCGACGCGCCGCTCCAGCGCCCCGCCACCGACGCGCCGTCCAACGCCCCGCCTTGCCGCCGCGCCGCCGAGGAGCGTCCGGCTACCGCGGCGTCCGCCTGTGCCCCAACGGCGGCTACTACGCGGAGATACGCTCCGGCGATCTCCGGCTTGGCCTCGGCACGTACGGGACGGCGCGCGAGGCCGCCCGCGCATACGACGCGGCGGCGTGGCGCCTGGGCCGGCCGCACGGCCAGATGAACTTCCAAGACGTATACACGCTCCAGCAGGCGCTCGACGTCGCCCCGCCGCCTCGTCTGAACACGGCACAAGACCGTGCGGAGCACGCCGAGTGGCAGCGCCGCCTCCTCCTCGCCCAGGAGGACGAGCGGGTCATGGCGGAGTGGCGCCGGCGCCACCCGGAGGACGTCGCGTACGAGCAAGCCTACTGGGCAAGGCGTCGCGAGGAGGACACGCGAAGGCGCCGCGAGGCGCGGTTGGACAGGCGTCGGCGGAAGGCGTTGGCGAACAAGCAGACCGATCTCGTTGCAGCAGGTCGTAGGACGATCTTCACCCCCGAGGATGATCGTTGGTTGGACATATGGCTATCAACCTCGGACGACACCGCCGAGGATGATAATGGTGATGATGATGATAGCGACTTAGAGTAGTTATTTATGCTATCTATTTAGTTTTTTATCGTTTGTGGTTTTTAAATTATGCAATCTATGTTTCGGATGTAAAATACCTTTGTATCGTTTAAAATCCTATGCAATTTATCTAGTTTCTATGCTTTCCTAGTTTGTAGAATGAGCGCGCGCTGCAATCTTTGCGCGCCTGCTGGAGCGGCGCGCGCGCTGCATTTTCGCGCGGCGACTGGAGCTGGCGATGCGCGCTGCACCAAACCAGGCGATGGGCGCGCGCTAAAGCCATTTTTTGCGCGTGGCGCGTTCAGCGGCTGTTGGAGATGCTCTAAAGAAGAAGCAAAACGGCGGACACTGCAGCCGCGGCGACTAGACCAACTCCGCCGGTGACTGTGTGGCGGAAAGAAGAACTTGCCGGACCAGGCGCTGGAGCTGGGGAGTGGTAGTAGTCTCCAGAGGCTGCTGACGGCGCTTGGGAGTTCTGGCTGGGTGCAGGAGCTGGGGCGACGTGGATAGGCGACGGCGGTGGAGCGTGGTGACCATGGCGGTGGTCGCCGTGAGCGGGAGCAGGCGCCGATGCTGGACCATGGTGATGACGATGATGGTGAGTAGGGCTCGGCGCTTGAGCGTGGTGACCATTGTGAGCGGGAGCAGGCGCTGACGACGGACCATGGTGAAGATGTTGATGGTGAGTAGGGCTCGGCGCCGGAGCACGGTGACCATTGTGAGCGGGAGTAGGCGCTGACGACGGACCATGGTGATGATGATGATGCTGATTAGGGCTCGGCGCTGGAGCGTCATGACCATGGTGGTGGTCACCGTGAGCGGGAGCAGGAGCCGATGACGGCCCATGATGATGATGGTGACTAGCGCTCGGCGCTGGAGCGTGGTGAGCATCGTGAGCTGGAGCAGGCGCCGGTGACGGACCATGTTGATGATGATTATGGTGACTAGGGCTCGGCGATGGAGCATCGTGACCATGGTGGTGGTCACCGTGAGCAGGAGAGGGCACCACCGCCGGACCATGGTGATGACTGTTAAATTATGATCTAAATTCTAGTACCGTATTGGACTAGACGTAGTACAAACGGTGTGGGCCTTTGCGTTGACGTCGACGCGTACGAGTACAACTCGTTTACTTGTCCTCCAAGGACTCTCATGTATTGCCCTCTTATATACCCCATGTAGTCGCACTTCAGACGGTCTATCGTTTCGTGCTTGTAATACTCCTCCATCATAGTGATTGCGCCTTCGTGCGTCTGTGGTTTTCTCCCGCAAGGGTTTCCACGTAAAAATCCGTGTCTCTTTGTCTCGTTTATTTCTCGTTATTATATAATAAGTGGTATCAGAGCCAAGTTTACAGATACGAGATTTGAGACGAGAGAAGTTAGGGTTTTCATCTGCGTGCGCTGCCGCCGACCAGGCGATCTGTCCGGATCGATTTCTGCTATATCGCCCTAGCAAGAAGCCGAGTACCCGAGACCGACAGGATTTCTGCAGCAGTCGTCGTTGTCTAATCCGTCGAGTTCCGCTGCTGCTCCACGTCTGTGCACGGATCAAGCTCCGAGGAGATTACGCGTTGCCGCTGCTGCTACTCACGCGTTTTTAATTGATCGCTGGGGCTACTAGTACTTCCCACGGAGAGTACTAGTTGGGTCCTGTTCACGTGAAGACAAGAGCCTGCTAGTTCTGACGTGAGCTTGCACAAGTTTGGCTCTTGTGTTTTTCAACTCCAGTCGCTACATCTACCCCAGAAAGCTACCAGGTGCTATTTATCTAGTATTTTTTATTTTGCTCCGCAAACTAATTCTGTCAAGAATTATTCTACTCCAACTTGTACTACTTTGTGCACAGATTTGTTCGACTCATTGCATCCATGAAGTACGACCTTCCGCTGCTGGACCGTGACACAAGGTTTACCCTATGGCAAGTCAAGATGCGTGCGTTGTTGGCACAGTCCGACTATGATGAAGCACTGGATAGTTTTGGGAAGAACCGAATTCAAGATTGGACTGATGAGGAGAAAAGAATTGATTGTAAGGCTTTGTCACAAATTCAACTCCATTTGCATAATAATATTTTGCAGGAAGTTTTGAGCGAGAAAACTGCTGCCGCTCTATGGTTAAAGCTGGAAGGGATTTGCATGACTAAAGATCTCACCAGCAAGATGCATCTGAAGCAAAAATTATTCCTGCACAGGTTACCCGAGGGAGGTAATGTTTTGAATCATATTTCAGAATTTAAAGAGATCATATCTGATCTAGCTGCAATGGAGGTTAAGTATGAAGAAGAAGATACTGCTTTAATGTTACTTTGTTCACTGCCAAGTTCTTATACCAATTTTAGAGATACCATATTATACAGTCGTGATACTCTCACGCTTAATGAAGTTTATGAAGCTTTGAACTCCAAGGAGAAGATGAAATTAATGGTGCCTCATGATGGTTCAAGTTCATCCCAAGCCGAGGGATTATCTGTTCGTGGCAGAACAAAGGAGAAGAACTCCAATAATGGAAACAGAGGCAGAAGTAAAAACGGCTACAGGGGCCGGTCGCAATCCAGAGACAAGAAGTATTGCAGGTATTGCAGGAGAGACGGGCATGACATCTCTGATTGTTTCATGTTGCAGAACAAGGAAAAGAGGAAAGGTAACAGACAAGGTGAAAATTCTTCTAATGTTGCTCGTGATGATAGTTCCGATGATGCTCTTGTCATTATTGCTGGATGTGTTGAGACCAATGATGAGTGGGTACTTGACACTGCATGCACTTTTCATATGTGTCCACATAGAGATTGGTTTAATACTTTTGATTCCACTACTTCTGCTGGTTCCGTTTTGGGTTTTGATAATTCACCATGCAAGATTGAAGGCATAGGTTCTATTCGAATCAAGATGTTCGATGGCATAATCAGAACTTTGACAGATGTTCGGTATATTTCAAAGATGAAGAGAAATCTTATCTCTATGAGTGCCCTTGATGCAAAGGGGTACAAATATTCAGGTGGAGATAGTGTTTTGAAGGTCACCAAAGGTTCCCTTGTTGTGATGAAAGGTGACTTAAGTTCGACCAATGGTCTTTATTACCTTCGAGGTTCTACTGTTTCAGGTAACGCTACTCCAGTTGTTTCAAAGAATTCTGATTGTGATGCTGCTAACCTTTGGCATATGCGTCTTGGACATATGAGTGAACTTGGTTTAGCAGAGTTAAACAAGAGAGGTCTTCTTGATGGATATGAACCTGGTAAATTGAAATTTTGTGAGCACTGTATCTTTGGCAAGCACAAGAGGGTGAAGTTCAATACTTCGACCCATACAACTGAAGGTATTCTTGATTATGTGCATTCTGATTTATGGGGACCATCTCGCAAGAAGTCATTAGGTGGTGCAAGTTATATGCTGACTATTATTGATGATTATTCGAGAAAAGTTTGGCCTTATTTCTTGAAGCATAAATATGAAGCATTCTCAGCATTTAAGGAGTGGAAGATTATGATTGAGAGACAAACTGAAAGGAAGGTAAAGATACTTCACACTGATAATGGTATGGAATTCTGTTGTAAGCAATTTAAAAATTATTGCAAGTCTGAATGCATTGTCAGACACTACACCGTTCCTTATACTCCTCAACAAAACGGTGTTGCTGAGCGTATGAACAGGACCATTATTTCCAGAGCCCGTTGCATGTTGTCCAATGCAGGTTTGCATAGGCGTTTTTGGGCTGAGGCCGCTTCCACTGCTTGTTATCTCATTAATCGTTCACCATCTATTGCTCTTAATAAGAAAACTCCAATTGAGGTATGGTCTGGTTCACCTGCTGATTATTCACATTTGAGAGTTTTTGGTTGCACTGCTTATGCTCATGTTGATAATGGAAAGTTGGAGCCTAGGGCTGTTAAGTGCATCTTTCTTGGTTATAAGTCTGGTGTTAAAGGTTTTAAATTGTGGAATCCTGAAACCCAGAAGATTGTTATTAGCAGAAATGTTATCTTTAATGAATCTGCTATGTTACATGATGTTTCATCTACTAATGTTCCCGTTGAGAGTGAACAGCAGCCTACTATTCAGCAGCCTACTGTTCAGGTGGAGCATGTTATTGATTCAGGTGATACATCTGGTAATGAAATTGTTGATGCACATGATGAACACGTCGTTAATGATGATCATGTCACTCCCACTCTAAATCAGCCTATTGTTCCACCTAGTTGGAATTTTGCACATGATAGAGTTAGACGGGGTATTAATAAACCTGATTGGTTAATTGAAGAGTGCAATATTGTTTCTTTTGCTTTATCTGTTGCAGAAGAAATTGAAGGTAATGCCGAGCCTTCTTCATATTCCGAGGCTATTATTTCTGGTGATAGTAGTAAGTGGATGACCGCTATGCATGATGAGATGGAATCACTTGAAAAGAATGGCACTTGGGATTTAGTAAAATTGCCTAGAGAGAAGAAACCTATTCGTTGCAAGTGGGTTTTCAAGAGGAAAGAAGGTGTTTCTCCTAATGATGAGACAAGATATAAATCAAGGTTAGTTGCTAAAGGTTACAGTCAGATTCCAGGTATTGACTACAACGAAGTCTTTTCTCCTGTTGTGAAGCATAGCTCTATTCGCACTTTACTCAGTATTGTTGCCATGCATAATCTTGAGCTTGAACAATTGGATGTTAAAACTGCATTTTTACATGGAGAATTAGAAGAGGATATTTATATGGAACAACCTGAAGGTTTTGTTATTCCTGGAAAAGAAAAGCTTCTCTGCAAGTTAAAGAAATCTCTTTATGGATTGAAGCAATCCCCTAGACAGTGGTACAAGAGATTTGACACCTTTATGCTCTCTCAAGGTTTCAAAAGGTCTAATTATGATAGTTGTGTTTATTTAAAAACTGTCAATGGTTCAACTATTTTTTTGCTCCTTTATGTTGATGATATGCTTATTGCTGCAAAGAGTATGTCAGATATTGATGAACTAAAGAAGCAATTGAGTGATGAATTTGAGATGAAGGATTTGGGTGCAGCAAAGAAAATACTTGGCATGGAAATATCTAGAGATAGACCGTCTGGAAAAGTATATCTAAGTCAGAAGGGATATATTGATAAAGTTCTTCATCGTTTTAATATGCATAATGCCAAGCCGGTGAGTACTCCGTTAGCTGCACACTTCAAATTATCATCAACTTTATGTCCTAAGTCAGATGCAGATATTGAGTACATGTCTAGAGTTCCCTACTCGAGTGCAGTTGGTTCACTTATGTATGCCATGGTTTGTTCTCGTCCGGATTTATCATATGCATTGAGTGTTGTCAGTAGATACATGGCTAATCCTGGAAAAGAGCATTGGAAAGCAGTTCAGTGGATTTTCAGATACCTGCGTGGTACTTCTAATGCTTACTTAAAGTTTGGGAAAACTAGAGATGGACTTGTTGGTTTTGTTGATTCTGATTTTGCTGGTGATTTGGATAAGAGAAGATCGCTCACAGGTTATGTTTTCACCATTGGTGGTTGTGCTGTGAGTTGGAGAGCAACTTTGCAGTCTATTGTGGCTTGTTCCACTATTGATGCCGAGTATATGGCTATTTCCGAGGCATGCAAAGAAGCTATCTGGTTGAAAGGTTTGTAAACTGAGCTTTGTGGAGATTCATCTTGCCCTACCATATTTTCTGACAGTCAAAGTGCCATATATCTTAGAAAGAATCCAATGTATCATGAGAGGAGAAAGCACGTTGATGTTAGATTTCACTATATTCGAGATGTTGTTGCTGAAGGTGATTTGAAGGTATGCAAGATAAGTACTCATGATAATCCTGCTGATATGATGACAAAGCCAGTTCCTACCAATAAGTTTGAGCTTTGCTCAGGCTTAGTTGGTATTTCTCACTAGTCCGATGGACTTTGACGCACAAGGTGTTTATACTGATTTGGATGGAGTTATCTACTTTCTTCGACTACTTGAGGGAATTTGGATCAAGGTGGAGATTGTTAAATTATGATCTAAATTCTAGTACCGTATTGGACTAGACGTAGTACAAACGGTGTGGGCCTTTGCGTTGACGTCGACGCGTACGAGTACAACTCGTTTACTTGTCCTCCAAGGACTCTCATGTATTGCCCTCTTATATACCCTATGTAGTCGCACTTCAGACGGTGTGTCGTCCCGTGCTTGTAATACTCCTCCATCATAGTGATTGCGCCTTCGTGCGTCCGTGGTTTTCTCCCGCAAGGGTTTCCACGTAAAAATCCGTGTCTCTTTGTCTCGTTTATTTCTCGTTATTATCTAACAATGACGATGATGGTGACTAGGGCTCAGTGCTGGAGTGTGGTAACCATGATGGTGGTGACCGTGAGCAGGAGCAGGGGCCGACGCCGGACCATGATGATGACGATGATGGTGACTAGGGCTCGCGCTGGAGCCTGGTGACCATGGTGGTGGTCACCGGAAGAGGCAGCAGGCGCCGACGCCAGACCATGGTAACTAGGGCTCGGCGCTTCAACCGGCGCGTGGTGGTGTCCGTCGTGCGCCGAGGATAGCGCAACCAGTGAGGCCAGCAGCAGTGCCATCACCGCGGCCATTGGCGAGATCCGCGTCGCCATGGCAACAAGCTCCCGGAATGGTGGTGTCGGTGTGTCCTGTTAGGAAACACGTCAATACAAACAACAAACTAGGAGGGCAAGGATTGAAACTTGGAAACATGGTGTATTTGGAATGGGGAGACAGGCCTGTGTTAACCATGGCAAGTGTTCAATCCTATGGATCAATACTTTCTACAAAAAATGCGATTCTGATTTATTAGTTTCTGATCTTGACGAATTCGCAACACTGGAAATAAATCATTGTCAATCAATCGCATCGCAAGCAGAATTTCTCTCTGGACATCGACATTCATGGCGCACGTTCGCTCGTTACCATTACCATCTCTTTTTTTAGGCAACAACCCTAAGTTTTATTGACCAATTTTTATTTTTTTCAGAAATCTTGCCCCCTTTACTGCTCAATAATTAAAGGTACAATGTTTTGGTCATGAGGAGACCCCAACAAAACATGATGACCTACACCTAAATTACAACCAAACTTGGCGAGATCATGCACTTTGAAATTAAAAACTCTAAGTTCATGAGTGAAAGTACATGAAATCATACCATTTTTCCTAGCAATTATTTCCTGGATGATGGCACCATTATATCCTCCCTACCCTTGTCTAATTTTTACTAGTAGAACGTCCGTGCGTTGCCACGGGCTTTTATAGAAAATTAAGATGCTGTTCACATAGCTAAAATAACCGAGAACAATGCCGTCTCACCCAACACGCACATCTTTTTCTTGACAATCAGCAAACGCACATCATACTATCAAACAAAATAATATTATATTTTGTGGGAGCTCATTTAGGGCGCCAGTTGAGCTTCTTGGCGCCCATGCGGCCCCACTCGTGGGCTGGCCCAAGAAAAAGACAACTGCTCGATTGGTTTCGCTAGTTCGCTCAATCGCGTTGACCGCTCGGGGTGGAT